ATAATACGAAATATACATATGTCCATATACAAAATTACATAAATAATTAGATAAGTAGATTTCAAATATATAAATATGCATAAATATTTAAATTCTACGTGCGTATTTATGTAATATTTTTACATAATTAAGTAATTTTATTGATTGCAATTTGAGGGACCTGCCTGCCAACCCAGGCCAAAAGTCCAGAGAATTTAATTTGCTAGCACTGTATTTTACCCTGTAACGTTCTACGACACCCTAAAACCTGTACATGGGGGGTACTGTTTTACTCGGGAGACTTCGTTGAACACAAATATTAGTGATTCAAAACAGTAAAACATATCACAGCGATGATATTGTCAGTGAAAGTGACTTTTTTTGCATTTTTCACACACAATCACTTTTACTGATGATATAATTGTGATACATTTTCCAGGTTTAAAACACTAATATTTGTGTTCAGCGATGTCTCTCAAGTAAAACAGTACCCCCCATGTACAGGTTTTATAGCATTTTTGAAAGTTACAGGGTCAAATATATGGGTCAAATAATTTTACATTGAAAATGGCCAGGTTGGCCAAAATTAGCGTTCAGTTTAGTTTTTTTACTTTTTTCACACACAAACAAATATGAATGCTTACTTTGGCCAGTGTTTTCAACTAAGTGGCTACTAAAAAAAGACTGGACATACCCATATTGAATACCTTGGGTTGTCAACTTTAAAAAAAATATGTACATGTGGTGTGTTATTCAGAGATTTATGACAGATAATAGTGTTACAATGTCACTATTGATAAATTTTAAAAATGTATGTTTTGAAACCGCAATATCCTACTTGTACCTATAGCCCTATAACATGCAAAAAAAAGCAAAAAAGCACGTAAACACTGGGTATTTTTAAACTCAGGACAAAATTTTGAATCTATTTAGCAGTTTTTTTCATTCGCTTTTGTAGATGAATAAAAGATTTTTCAAGTAAAAGTCAAAAAACATGTATTTTTTTCAATTTTCCATCATATTTTTTTATTTTTTTTAAATTAAAATACATGAGATTATATAAATAATGGTATGTAAAGAAAGCCCCTTTTGTCCTGAAAAAAACAATATATAATTTGTATGGGAACAGTAAATGAGAGAGCAGAAAATTACAGCCAAACACAAACACCACAAAAGTGTAAAAATATGCCTGGTCGCAAATGTACAACATCGCAAAAACAGTCCAGTCCTTAAGGGGATAAACAAAAATGAACTGACCGTAATGAATCAATTTATTTTGGTTCTAATTGCTTTGATAAGGATAGCAAATTAGGGAATTATCTATTAAACCAGTGGTTCGAAAACCTTTTTTTACCTGTGTACCCCTTGGCAGCTCATTTCCATAAATTGTACCCCTAATATTAGCAAAATGTTTGTAATTAACATGTTATTTCAAATTTTTCCTCTGCCCTAAGCTCCCTTGCTTCTCCTCTGCCCTCGGCTCTCCTGCTCCATCTCTGCCCCCGAAATAAAATATATATATATATATGTATATATATATATATATATATATATATATATATATATATATATATATATATATATATATATATATATATATATATATATATGAAACAAGGGGGGGTTGACTGCACTCACCTGAACATGCATAAATGGGGGTGCTGCTGGGGGCCAAATAATACAAAAGACAAGATCCAGCGCACTCACCTATCCACTAAACAGCAACTTCAATGTTGAAAGATTTTATTAGTTTTTTTTAAAAACACCTAATCTAGGCAAAAATAATGGGGGTTTAGTTACATTATATGATCATACATTGCATAAGCCTGCCACAGCGTCAATGTACCCCATCTTTGGCAGGTCCTACACTAACAGCCTAATGTCTGCTCTTATGAGATTAACCTACTTGGGAAAAAAAATTCCATCTGGGGCTCTCTGCAGTACAAGGCTAAATAGGGCCCTGGGATGAGGCACCTGTGACAGGGAGGGGTGCAAAACCAAGGAGTTGGCTAGACTCCCAAATATATATATATGAAACAAGGGGGGGTTGGCTGCACTCACCTGAACATGCATAAATGGGGGTGCTGCTGGGGGACAAATAATACAAAACACAAGATCCAGCGCACTCACCTATCCACTAAACGGCAACTTCAATGTTGACAGATTTTATTAGTTTTTTTGAAAACACCTCAAGTAAGTGGTTAATCAGACATTAGGCTGTTAGTGTAGGACCTGCCAAAGATGGGGTACATGAGTGCAGCCAACCCCCCCTTGTATTGCATTAAATATGTATGTATATATATGCACAGATACAAACACTGACACACATAAAGATACACGCACTGAAACATACATATGCACAGACACACAGATAGAAACAATGACACACAGATATACAGATATACACACTGATATTGCTCTCCCAGTCCACCCCCAAATCTTTTCTGCCTCCCTCATGGCTTGGTTAGCGTTAGCTGGGAGGAAGTGAAAAGCGCTCACTTCCTCCCAGCACAACAGGACAAATGTCCATCGGGTGGTCCTAAGTGCATTGGGTAGAAGCAGAGCAGTTTCACATATAATTATACATACATAGTGTCAGCAGGCTTTCTGTGAAAATAAAATACAAACAAAAAAATAGTGCAATATGTCTGTAACACACTATATCGAAAGTAGATAGGAAGATATGTCAAACTCACAAGCCTGGAGTCATACCCTCATATGACTCTGGTGGTATAAGCTTCTGGACCATTTGGGGGTTGTCCAGACCCTTCTTTGGCAGCGTGTTAGATGTTGAGTGGTTCCTTTTGTACCCTTCCGACTGGTTACAAAAATAGGGATAAATACCCAGTATGTCAGGATTCTTTAAAAAACAATTTATTCCAAAAAAGATACATATAATAAAAAAGAATACTTATCCCAGATAGTACTGGGTAGACTTAATAGTCCCAAGGTCAAAGTGCTATCACTTTGACCTTGGGACTATTAAGTCTACCCAGTACTATCTGGGATAAACGCACTGAAACATACATATGCACAGACACACAGATAGAAACAATGACACACAGATATACAGATATACACACTGATATTGCTCTCCCAGTCCACCCCCAAATCTTTTCTGCCTCCCTCATGGCTTGGTTAGCGTTAGCTGGGAGGAAGTGAAAAGCGCTCACTTCCTCCCAGCACAACAGGACAAATGTCCATCGGGTGGTCCTAAGTGCATTGGGTAGAAGCAGAGCAGTTTCACATATAGTTTTCCATCAATAAAATTACTGAAGAGAGCTACATACTTTATAAAGTTCTTATTCAAGAGTAGTATGCTCAACACAACTACTGAAAACAATAGGAGGGGCATGATGGGCTGACAAATCTCAGTTGCTTCCAGATTTGAACAGAACCTGTAGATGTAAAACAAATAAAAGGAAAATCAGACATAAGTAACTTTTCTGTCTTTTTTTGTTTGCTTATTTTAATGGATTATTTTCACATTCCAGCCTTAAGACTATTCATATATTTTGGTGAAACTGTTTTCTTATGGTTTAACAGTGAACAAGGGTCTTGGCCACTAGTGGCGCCTCATCGCCACTTCCATCCTAGCCAACTCTTCCTTGTTAATTCTAGAAGCAATGGTGATTATCAGCCTATAACTGTTGCCCATTGCAATAATGGATTTGAAAAACTAATGCCTAGAACCGCCTAGGTTAACAAGTTAACAGCAGAGACCCTAGTGGTTGAGGTTGCCTAGGTATCGTTGGAAGAACAGTCAAATCATATTTTAGTGAACTTTTGTCTGCATTCCCAAGCAGGAGTCCAGTGAATAAAAAGTGCCCCCCCCCCCTTATAAAAATGTATGTTTATAAAGTAGTATTAGGCATTTTGAGATAAAAATCACCATGAATTGAAATGCTGGTGTTATTGAACGTTTCAATTCTCATAATAAAATCTAAGTATATGTCACAAGGCATTTTCCCATTCTAGCCAAGAAGAGCATTTATACAAAATTATATTCCAGAGCCCAAACCCAGGCTTCAAGCCTCATTTAATCCTCTTGTCCAGCCTCTCTCACAACAATCGTAGACCAGGCTGAGCTTTCATGGCAGAGGAATTAAAAGCTAAAGCGTAGCCCACACTGGGATTTCTAGCACAGTTTTTTAATGGTGGGAGAACAAAGATTTTATTCAGCAAGCTCTGATTAGCTTGTGCCAAACTGTTTGTGTTTGAAGGGGGAGGTTGCTTGGTAATGCCTCTAAATGCTCTATGCTTTGCCACACTGGTTTCTTGGGAACTTGACGTGTTTGTTAGAAAACAAAGCATGCAGAACACACATGGGATCAGTTCGTGTACGGCATGTTCTTTTTGAAGTGGAAATGCTTTAAAGTGAAGATTTAGTTTCAATTCAGTAACCCCACTGGAAACCTGTAAGGACATACAGTCAGACAGCGTGTATTCAACGCTTTTTTTTTTTAGAATGTTCAGATTTTGTTTTCCTGCCAATTAAAACAGAGAGAATAATAAGCAAGTAGTATCTGAATTTCAAAACTCAGGATGGACCTAGTTTTCATAAACATGGACAGTTCAGAGATGTTGTAAACCATCTCTACTGGTTCACTGTAGGTTCAATTAAAAAAATGAGACCTTTGCCAAATTTAGTTTGGCAAACATTAAGTTTAGCCACAACTACTCAGACATGGCTTTGGAATTTTGTGTGTTGGACAGCCACTATATTAGATGAAGCCATGTGGAATCTTGTACACTCTGCTGTGGTCTTAGTAGAATTGACACTACGGAAGCTCCTACTAATGATTGCATGTTGTCTTTTGAATGGTTCTGCAGCAGTCTGGCTATTCAGGTTTTTTAATGTTCTACTCAATGTTGTTCCCGTGGCTTGTCTTCTTCTTCCAGAAATTATCTTTGGAGCTACTGCATTCATCTGGCCTCAGATTGAAAGGCTGGTGCGGATATTTCTTCTCATTGGATGGATGTTTTTCTTTTCAACTGTGTCTTCATGCATTCAGGTGATGGCCTACAGTTTCCTGATGGCTTTCATGATTTGGTGGACAATGATGGGAAAACTATTTTGCGGATCTATTCATTGCGTAAATGTTCTCCTTGAGGTAGTTCTGATAAGAAGGTCACTATGATCCATGAATTCTATACAAAAACACTATCAGAACTTTTTTTCTTGGTGTAATACATTATTGAATTGCACAAAACATTTATTAAGCCTTTTTTTTTTCTTTTTAGTAAAAATACAGCAGAAGCAGTTATAATGTGTGGCTGCATCTTTTCTGCTTTCATATGAAGTTGTAATAATATGAAATTTGAAGCAGAGAAAAAAAAGAATATATTCTGGTGCTGACATTAGTAGAAAGAGCAATTATTAAACAATAAGGAGAGAAAGAAATGTAAAGAGGCTGATAGTGATAATTGTCTAATTTAAACTTGTAATTGCCAGACGAATTGTGGGAGAAAGAAAAACACCTTTTAACAAAATTGATACCTAGGGTGTGAAATTAAGACAGGCTCTGGGGAGAAATTAGCAGCACTTGATTTACTTCTGAATTTCAACAATTCTGTACTTCCAGTGCGAGTATCAGAGAGGCTATTTCCCAAATTATTTGGTTTTCATGCAATTCGTTAACTGAGAAAAAAAAGTGTAAACAGTGACAATGAGGTAAAATTAATGTACTTTCTAGGGAAAAAGATTACTGTCCATTTCTCATTGCAAATCCTCAGTAACAAGGCCAGACTTGGCAATATAGCAGCTGTTTAGAGAATGCTCTACTTAGCTTATTAAAATAATTTTAAAAAGCACTGAATGACAATTTTTCTCTTAGATTATTTATTTCCTTATATGATGTACAGATGATGTATAGGGGGTTATTCTCTAAGTCAACCATGATTATTATATTATTATTAATTATTATTATAAATATTATTATTATTATAAATCTCCAAAATATTCTGCAGTGATGTACAATAGGACTTGGAATTCCTCAAAAATGTTTTTTTCCTCTAAAATCGCAATTTATTAAGTTTTCACATAAAACATATAATATTTTAAACACATTTCCCGCACAGGCAGTATGTATACAAGATTCAATGTTTTCAAATCACTGTACTGTTCACACAATCATGCAGGGCAGTTTGATTTTTTTTTGTCCACTACTACAATTCCCTATGTGTTTGTTTTGCAGTGCATTGAATATTTACTGTAAAGAGTAGTTTAGGAAGGAGATAGTTAACATTATATTTCTACCCCTTCCCCATTTTTTTTTTTTTTTTTAATCAAAGGAGTACTTAATGTTTAATCAGATGCTTAATGGACCTGTGCGAATTACGAGACTAATTAAGTACATGCCGAGCTTGTAAAAACAAACAGCTATAGTGGCGGTAGAGAAGAGGAATGCACCCCCAGAACTACATCTTTATACTAAGAAGTGATAGCCCCAAAAATACAATAGAGGGTCCTTCTTTGAATCTGGAGAGTTATTAGCATCACTGTCATTAGTTTCTGACTTTATTGTAATAATGATGATTAGTATGTATGAAGTACCATTATATCTTTGTACCTAAAGAATAAGGTGATAATTAACACTCAAATGGGCAGTCATTGCTGATACAGAAAGTTCTAGAATTAGAACACAATCTACCGTAATTAATAAAAGCAGCAGATACGCAAAGTGTAAGTATTCTTCACAGCAATAATGCAGTCCGACTGTTTGGCATCATTTGACATTGGCAAAGTTTTACAGGGGAACACACCTCCTAAATCATGTAAAATATTTACGGACACTTGCCTGTCTCTAAACATGATCTTTACCATTCAAAGCATAGAATTTGGGAAACGTCAGGAGCTCATTTATCATTAATAGTTAGTAGTTATTTTCCTCTAGACATTTTACTTTAGCTGTTAAAATAAAACTAAATATGCATATATTATGATGCTCTCCTTTATCACAGTGAGGAAGGACCCTGCTGTGGAGAGGTGAGGGAGCAGGAGAGCTTTACACAAGGCAGCCCTGCTGTTCCCACTAGTGTTTTGCTGAACAATAATCATGCATTAGATGCCGGGATAAGCCTATTTTACTGTTAAAGTAACATTAGAAATACAAATCTGTTTGTGTAACTTTAGAGCATACTGTTTTTGATTTAGATGTTCTGGCCTGCCCTTTGGAACTTGAATAATTTTACCTTACATTCCATCCCAGGCGACGTTCTTATTGCAGCTGCTTCTCTGCCCTACTTAATGTCATCATTACTGATGATCTCAGCCAATCCCATGCTTCCCATATATAAGCTTTGGAGCAGCTACTGCACTTCCCTACTGAGTGCTGCACCAGTCAGCAACTCCTCATAGCACTGCTATGGGGTTGTTTGGTGTCTTCGTGTAGAGCTGTAGTGGTTCTGGTACTGAGAGTATGGATTTAACATGCAGTGGAGGTTTGTGACAATAATGCCAACTTTCAAAATATTAAATATTATTAAAGGCCAGATTTCAAAATATAAAAAAAATCAAGTTAGCAGGGGTAACCAATTTGTTTACAACCTGCTAACAAAGTTTAGGGTGCAACGGGTATTAAAGGACCACACCTTCTTAATGATACATTAACAAATATATAATTAAAAGAATACTCATACACCAGATTCAATAAAAATGCTAATTTTATTAAAAATCTAATTCATCTACGTATGCCTATAATGTTGGCATTTATACCAAACTACATCTGTTAAACATGTAGAATTAAGTCAATACACTGAATACAAATAAAAAATCTACATTCCAGACATGCAACAATATAAATCATAAGAGAATGTTAGATTGCTGTACAATATTACATGACAAGTGGACAGGAATAAATACCCAACATTTCAGCTGTAAGGCCTTTGTCAAGGGTGATCTTTAGTCACAACCCTCTAAAATATAAGGAATTAGTAGATGTGAGAATGAAATTAGTAGTATTTCTACACAATTACGTGAGTTGGTAACCGAGGAAAAGACTGAGCAGATTTTTTCTGATATACAGACTGCTACTACTAAGTTGGAAGCTGAAATTCTAAACCATAAATTCAACAAGTTTAGAAGGGATACACTTGATTATTCTCATAATCAGGTGTATACCTGGAGAGAGAAACATAGGCAAAACAAGAGCTATAAGAAATCCTTTTTCAAATTTTCTAAGGAAACTGATCTCTCTAGTACACATTCAGAGAGTAGCATCATTAGTGAGAGAGATACTAGTACGGAGAGGACATATTTTTTAGGACAACGAGAGGATGCAAGAGGCGAAGGATGCAGAGCAGTAGACACCCCAAGACCACAGCCACGGGTAGTGAAGAACCAACCCCCGACAGGAGCAAAGATATCCAGACAGGACCAGGAACAGGCGACAATGGTGATCAACATATTCTCTAGGATATTGTCTCCTTGGGAGGAAAAGATTCTTCCTAAAGGTATGGGATTTGTGCCAATGTTTGTAGGTAATCGCCTTAATCTGGATGTCGAATCGAACAATTTATTTTCTCAACATTAGGATTAAGACCTTTTTTCACACTAACCCTGTTCAGAAGAGAGAAGTAGAGGAACATGCATTGGAATTTGAGAAGTGTAAACCTATAAGAACCTTTTCACCACTACAGAACAACGTCGCTGTAGAGACCTTTAACAAGTTAGTTGAACATAGACATATTGAAATTACGTTGGTCCAGTGGCAAAACAAAAGGGTGTAATCTAATGATGAGGGACAGGCACTTAGAGCATTGAGCGAGGACAAATCCATTATCATCATGCCAGCCGATAAGGGGATTTTGATAAATATCATGGAGAGGTACTAAGACAGTTGGCAGATGAGACAACATATAAACAACTTGGGCAGAATCCCGTTAAAGGGATTAGTAACAAGATTGTCACTATTGTACAGAAAGCTTTTAATGATGAACTGATAGGTGAAAGCACTAAGCAGTTTCTAATTAAGATTCATCCAATTACCCCATTGTTTTATGTACTCCCTAAGATCCACAAAAATCTCCAACATCCCCCGGGATGACCTATTGTTGCCGGTACAGATTCCATTTTACAACCATTATCCCAATTTGTAGATTGTGTTTTACAGTCATAGGTGTTGAAGATACGATTGCTTTGTACCATGGACGTGAACAGCCTGTACACCTCCATATCTCATGATGGGGGTGTGCAGGCTGTGATTGAGCATCTGACAGGGGCGGGTTTGAGCCGGTCGCAGATGCAATTAGTTGTGAGCTTGTTATAGAAAGTTCTATATGAGAACTAATGATAATGATTTCACATTTTATCAACAACTGAGGGGCAATGCGATGGGGTCGATTGTGGCCCCATCGTATGCAAATCTTTTTATGAAATCTTTTGAAACCAAATTTGTGTATATGTCCCATTGGTACATGGAGAGGGTAACATTTTGGGTCAGATTTATTGACAATATATTTTTCGTTTGGCAAGGTACCGAGGAAGAACTATTGGATTTAAAAGATCATCTAGACACTTGTTTACCTGGCATCACGTTCACATTGGAATATGATGAAATTCGGTTCATTTTTTGGGATGTACAGGTCAGTCTACGGAATGATATCTTTGAATTTGACATTTACAAGAAATCCACGGATCACAACTCTTATCTTAATTTTGATTCATTCCACCTCTGGAGTCTTAAGAAAGGCCTGCCATTTTCACAGCTGACCCGTATCAAACGTATAGTAACTGGGGAGGATAGATTGTAGACTCAGTCGGATCAACTATTGAAGGATTTCAAGACTAGGGGCTTCCCAGAAAAGATCCTTCTCAAGAGTAAGAGGAAAGCGCTGGATAGGGATGACATTACACAGAGGAGAAGAGTTATGACTGATCGTATTCCATGTGTTACAACATACTCAGCACACTCTAGGCAAGTTAAACACATTATCTACAAACATTGGCATGTTCTGAATTCAGATCCAAAATTGGGGGATCTTTTTAAGGAACCCCCAATGATGGCATACAAGAGAGCGATGAGTCTCAAGAACACTTTGGTACATGCAGCAATTTCTTCAACAACACCACCCAAGGATAACTGGCTAAGTAACATCAAGGGCATGTACAGGTGTGGCCACTGCATAAATTACAATGGAGTCATCCGGTCAAATTCTTTTACGCACCCTAGGACAGGGAAAAAGTATCTATTGAGTGATCATATGAATTGCCAAACCACCTTTGTAGTTTACATGTTAAAGTGACTGTGTGGGTTGGCTTAAATTGGGGAAAACAGTAGAGCATTCACTATAAGAATTGGTGAACATAAAAGCAACATACAAAACCAACAATCAAGTGTAGCAAGGCATTTTGAAATGTGTAAACATGCAGTTTCACAACTGAGGTATATGGCAATTGAATATGTGACAATACCCATGAGGGGTGATGATCGGAAAAAGAAACAAAGAGAGCTTTTCTGGATATACGATTGGATACTCTGTAACCGAAGGGTCTCAATACTGACAGGGACTTCTCGTGCTTTAGGTGATTTTTTTGTTTGGTGTTTTTTTTTAATTGTTTAGATGATAGACTGTGCTGCTGTGACCTTTTATGGCTGATATTACATGTTTGAATACAGCCTTGTTAGGACGAACCAGTAGACCAACAGAGTGGGGGACATATACAGAACACCCAAATGGTACTTAGGTGTGAGAGTTTTCCGGACGAATTGGGCAATGTACCCTCATATGTCCCTTCTTGCCACAATACATACACAGAACCTCACT